GTGGGCGGTGTGCCTCTAATTTCATGTTTCATTCATATATTCAAAACATAAAACTGGGATGTCTGCCACAACACAAAGCCAGTTCAAAGGTAGATTTTCTGACATGATTTTAGCTTCTAACCAGAATGGTCCACGAATACCAGTTATTTCCAATTCGACTCGCACCGTTGGAATCTTAGGAATTCAGCAATATCACACATGATGTTAATCAGAATTAAAAACTTTGCAAAATGTCAGTATGATGATAATAATAGCATTTACAGGACAATCACATAAATGAAATAGACTGATAGTCTACGACAGAGTTTGGAAAGGAGATAAACAATTTGAGTACTGATAAGCCATCCTAATTACTAGACTAAGAGAAGATATAAATATATCGCAATGACAGCTAACTCTATTGAGATTTGTACATATAACATGAACAGGTGAGTTGACAAACACGTTGGACCCTGCTCTAGATTGCTTAAAAGTGACACAAATGCGCGAAGAAAACGGAGGTACATCAATATTAATTTGCGCAGGAATATCTGGGGAGTCGATTTTGCCATATAGTAGTTTAAACAGAAATATTTCAGATGAAACCTCTCCTCTGAACACTAAGCTTTCAATTTCAGAATGCCCAAACCGCTCTGCATTGCTAACTCCTTGCTCAAGATAAAATCCCTCAGACTTCATATAAAGAAATTTAATGAACCTTCTTTAAACCTTTTCAGTTTATATAAATTTGGTAATACTCGCATATTCATTCCTGACAAGGAAACCGTATAACTTAAGCGGTTCTGAAACTTTTTGAGAAATCTGGGGCGCAAATGTTAATCTTTGGTCATAAAGAACACCCAAATCTCTGATTGTATTACATCTATCCAACAGCGCACCATCAAAATTATAGTTGAAAATATGAAGGGTTTTTTCCTACTATAAATAAGAACCTTGCACTTGGATCAAAATTGTTGACATCGCATCAAGTCCGAATGCTAATTAAGACTATCTGTAAATCCAAACAGTTATCAATATCGCTTACAAAACGCATATATTTTCATCTCATCAGCATTTAATTGCATACATTTCAAATTTTCACAGAGGCCATTAATAAACAACAGAAATAAAAGTAGCCCAAGTTAGATCCGTAGGAAACACCGGATGAAGCTGAGTAGGCTTCGGACCTGAACCCGTTATATGCTACGTATTGCTTCCGACCTGATAAATAACATCGACAGAATTTTATAGTGCTTACTGTGAATCCAAAGTTCCCTACTTTCTTTAACAAAGCTCCATGATCAATTTTGTCCAAGGCCTTTGAAAAAAATTATCATCCAATACTTCAGATATGTAACGAGTTAAATTAACCAAGTTGGTAACAGTGAGAATTGGTTTCTCATTAAAGCGGTTATACAGGGTTATTTCAAAGACCTTCGCAAAAATGCATATGAGAGAAATTGATAGACAGTTCTCAACGTGCCTATTTTTCTCAAATGAGACAAAGTGGAATAATGATAACGTTTAGTCTCAACTTCATTTTTTCTCAAGGACACCATCTTGACTTTTTGTATAAAGTTCCCAATGGTGAAGGTCGATTTTGAAACACCCGGTATAGAAAAAGTTCGATGTCTTAATGGTCAGTTTAATGAGTAGATAGAAGCTCTAGGTTAATTTAAAAGTTGGTGCCAAACCGTCTGGGTATTTCTCCGCTAAATGAGAATGACGTAGAGTTTTTTAAGGCCACAATGAATGTTCACAATAAAGTCGTGTCACGGAAAAACAAGGAAAATGCCGGAAAATGAGAAAACTCCGAGAACCGGGGCGTATAACCTGACAGCAGACTATCGAAACTAAACCGTTTTCAACATTTCACGTCACTTCTGTTCTGTTCTGTTTATCAAGAAACTTGCGCTGACTACGTTCATATCGAAAGCATTATTTATCATTTACAAGTTTCATGAACTCGCTTTTGATGTATTTATCTATACAGGGTGTTTCAAATTCGACCTTCACCATTGGGATCTCGGAAACTAATCGCAATTAAAAATACTTCCAGAGGGGAACTAAATATAAATTTCACATTAACATTGCCACTTTCTCCTCTTCAAGACGGCATAATTAGAATTTCAATATGACGTTTCATCTCTTTCCCTCCAACATTAACTATATTTTCCGCAAGGACGCCATATTGGGTTTTTGCACAGATGAAGAATGTTTTTAATTCTGATTCCAAAAGTGTATAATAAGACATACATTGACATTTACAATCCTTAGTTATTTCGAAAAAGCAGAATTTTCTAGGTAGGCCTTGAAATTATCAGACTGTCATTCTTTTCGCTTAGGTACTAGATTTATCCCAAAATCACTTTCATTTTTTCCTGACTATTTGAGATGGGATTTCACACAACACAAATTAAAGGTTAGGTAAAATAGGTTTTACACTTAAGGATCATAAAATTCAGAAAAACATATGTGTAGGTATACAAACCAACAAGTCATCATTTACAAAAGCATTGCAGCACGCTAAAGTGGTGCGTACTCCTAATAACCAAATATTGCTAAGATATATAAATATTTCTCCTGTAGCGGTGTGTCAGTGATGACACCGCCGCAGACCAGTTGGTGTTTGTTGCCCATTCTACGGTCCGCAGTGGCCTCCACGACGATGCACCATCGCGCCGTGCGCGCAACGCCAACGATTGCCAAGTCATTAGTATTATGAGTACATTAAACATAGGAATTTTATTATTTAATTTTCCCGTTATCACCGGGATCTGAAACTTCTTAATGATAAAAAGTCTTCGACTCCAACCCCCAAGTTTCAAACCCTACAAAAAAATTCTGACAATGATCAGGGACCTCTCTGTTGGCGATTTAAGCCTTATGAGAAAATTTCATCAAAATCCGAGAGGTACTTCTCAAGTTATAGGTGGTTCCACAATAATGGACAGAGCGACGGAAATGATGGACATGGTTTTTCATGATGTGCATGTCATCTAAGATCCAAAAAACGTAATCTCTATTTCGACATTTTTCGCAATTACCAGTTTTGGCATAGGAAGTGAACATTGGGTGTGCCAATACTTTTTTGACCTACTATAGAAACTTAATGACGTACTTTCAGGCATTCTAATAAATTAGATGCCTTTCAAATTTTCTGAGCGACGACAAAACAAAGCACTCCTGCTCTTGCTTGCAAGCTCGGCGTTCGACCAGCTGACTCGGTGGCGTCGGTGCGACAGTAAGGTGATGGATTGAAATAGATGATCGTATGCTGCATTTGGAACCTATATTTTTTGCGGAATCAAGGTATTCCAAATTAAGATACCATTACATATTTGGCTACTTCCCGCTACAGATCCGATACAAAGTCATAATATAAACATAATCAAGTGCCGAGAGTACTTCAACAAATAAACGACGATTCACATGTTATACATAAAAGAAATGTTATGGTTGCCAAAGAGCCTATTATACTACGTAAAACATTTTATAAACTGTTTTAAGAAGTCATAGCTAGTTTTACTTACATTGTAGTGGCTTTAACAACGAAAAAGAAGCGACTGTGGGTAAGACCGTGGATCGGCCGCCGTGAGTTAAAAAGGATCTACAATAACTTGGTCCGCGGTCCGATAGTCGTTCACACCGTTGACAGCGCACTCAAGGCCGGTCCGAAAGCCTCCGTGAGCACCTTGGTGTGAGCGCGTGACGTCACCTATTGCGTCACGGATAGCGTTTACGAGACGTTCACGGCAAGCCATGAGCGGGTTAAGCGCTTGCGCTGTTCGCGGCTATCGGACCGCGCAATGCGCGCGTATGACCACGACCGAGCAGTTAGGCGGGAACAAATTTTGGAAAAATAATTATTTATACCTTTTGTGTATATTATGGCTGAAGTTGAAATTCCGATGCAGGCGGAAGGACAAGAGCTGCTATCATTTATAGTGAGTGCAGCTGATGCCACAAAAATCTATTCCGGAGGTAAATAGAACCCGCTTGCTGATGAAATATAGAGACTTGCAAAGACTCAATTGCATTCATTTATATTTTCAAGTCTTGGCCAATTAATAATAGTTATTATTTGTCTTTATATTAGATGAGGCTCTATTAAATCGTCTGTACCACGATGTTATAGAGGAAAAAACAAAAGTCATCCAGACCAGACAGCATCAGCTTGTACGCCGACTGCTGCACCTATTCCTTGTTCTACTCTTCCCCCTGCATTTCCTCATCCACTCGAAGAAGAAGATGAAGCTATCAGTGGTCCTGCTTCACCTGGAGTAGAAAAGGCAGATGAGGAAGATAAGTTTTTGTGGCCTACACAAATGATTTTTCTGCTATTTAAGTCATTGTGGTTACAAATTGCAGAAGATATTAAAAAGCTAACTGGATCTACCCTTCCCCATTGTCAACTTCAGTCAAAGCTAGATGGCCTCAAAAACCGTTACAAAATAATATTGGCGAGGAAGGGTAGATCTGGCAGTGGCACTATTAGATGGCCGTACCTAGAAAGGATGAAAGAATTATTTGGTCGCTGCGCATGGGCCAATCCCAAGACCACTGCTGACGAAAGATTCAGCCAGAACCCATTACCAGAAAAATGAAGAAAACAGATGTCACTGCCCTAGAAAAATTAAAATTACGGAAAGAGAAGAAAAACGTATGCAGGCACTGCAGGAACTGATAGAAATGAAGGAAAGGCACCATAAAGAAAAAATGGATGCTCTAAAGAAGATAGGCGAGGCTTTGGAAGTGCGTAAATTATTTGAAGATGGAAACTAGGCTTCGTGTATTCGAGTTTGGTCAATTTTTGCATATTTTTATTTTTGAATTATGAATATAATTTTAAAAGCTTTGATGTGTCATTTCCTAAAAAAAGTATCTAAACCAATGTCACTTTTAAAACAAATGCACTGAAAATATTTTCAAATCAGACTGTATTACAAAAATAGTATTACATTTACTAAATATTTCTTACAGAAAGTTCATTCACGATGCGGTCTCTCTTTGCACTACCTGCAGCTCTCCTTGTGGCATCATCTATTAGCATGTCTCTTTGCTGGACAAGGGTGGTATCATTTAAAATTTGTGGTTCACTAAGGACAAACAAGTCATCTCTTTGAATGCAAATATTATGCAATCGTGCAACTGCTATTTGTATTCAGGTATTTGTTCTATCGTGACCATTGGAAGTCTGTCAAGAATTCTCTTCCAACGATTTTTTCACACACCAAATGCTCTCTCAATCGATGTTCTGGCAGATGACAGACAAAAATTATAGTTTTTCTGTCGTGATGTCAAGTGACCATTGTCCTTATATGGCACCATGCATTATACAGGGATGGATTGGATGTGCCGAGTCACCAAGAAGGTGGCTATCATTTGGAAAGTATTGTGCTGGGTCTGCCATATAATCAGGTATCCTTGATAAGCTAAATACATGGGCATTATGAACTGAACCAGCATGTCCAGCATATACACTAGTGAATACTATCTTGTAAGTACAAATGCTTTGCACTTGGACTGATGGATATCCCTTTCTATTGCAATATGCATTATGTTCATCATCTTTGGGTTTATTAATTTCAATGTTTGTTCTATTGAACCAATAACTCCAGGGAAAGCACTAGCCCGTTCAAATTCTCCTATCACTTCTTGAGCTCGTTGTCCCTCAGGCTACCTTATGAATCTAGGAGCTAAGGTATGTAGAGCTCGACAAACTCTTCGCATTGAACGTACACAGGTTGCTTTTCCTACATTAGACTTTGTGCAAGCAGACCTATATGAATCTGGAGTTGCCATTAACCATAATACCAGTAGCAGTTGAGTCTTTGCAGGAGTTTGTGGTCGAGAACTAGGCCCAGCTGTGCTTAACAATGGTCCAACATGTCCCAAAACAAATTCTAAAGTTTCTGGCAGCATTCTAAAATGCGATTTAAATTTGAGGAGAAACCCGGTACTGTGCGTTCTACAAACTCGTCAATGCGAGGCCTCTTTTGCATAGGTCCTCTTCTCTCTCCCTCATATACTTCAACCCCATCGCTTTCTTCACTAGAGGATGACGAGAAAATTAAACTGATGAGTTCCTCATCATCTGACGATGAATCTAGTGCTTCCTGGAGTGCACTAACAATGGCAAAACCACGATTTTCATTTATTTTCACTAAATACAATAAACAAAAGTACTAAATGTTTTCAATTGCGGTTAAAGCTTTTTTGTTTGTAAACAAGCGATTGCAAATCTAGCCGTCCGAAAGTCGTAGCGTCCACACGAGCAAACACACCCCAAATCAATTGGACCAAGCCGCCAACGTATTCATGTCCTTGAGCGAATATAGTGACTTACGGACCGCGGCCTTGGTCTAAGAACTGGCAGTGGAAGATCAGAGAAGTTATGTTAACTTTTTGAGAATGGATGAGGATGACACATTTACGAAACCCCATCAGCAATGAGGAGCGGCTCATGGTGACATTGCGATTTCTATCCTCCGGAGAGAGTTACACTAGCCTCCAGTACGCCACACACCATCTTGACACAACTACGCAAAAAGGCATTTTTTCAGATTTTTTTATTTGCGTTGCAAACATGTAACCGATTATTGTTTTTCTTGTGTATTGTGAATATTGCTTTACTATCGTCAATTTATTTTAGCAATGAATAAAAGTGCATTTGTGCTACAAAAATACTAAAAATACTGCTGAAATGTGTCTTGATGAATTTCTCGAAAAAATGCAGCCAGGTAAAAGTTTAAATTTAAATGAATATGGTTTATTCAAAAATCCTGTTACGTCTCGAAAAATAGGATCTTTAGAGGAAACTCAGAATATTGTTTTAGAAGCAGTCGTTGAGAACTCTGACATATCAACTAGTCATATTGAGAAAAATGTAGGAGTAGCCCAATTTATTTTGCGCAAAAATAGATGTCACCCCAATAAATTCAGGAACTAAACATGTCAAGACATTTTACTTTTAAGTAGTTTCTAAAAATATCAAGCTACCTGACTAAATGACAAAATCTCAAATCCTGTCTATTACTCATTTTAACAGGTCTCCTTGTTAACAACTGATTATTGTTATAGATGGACATCACCTAACCTGACTATCTGAGACAGATCTCTAGGTTTCATATGTCCGTAATAAAAATGCGTCGGATTCCGAGCACCTTTGAATTTCAATATAAAATTCAATATCTAATTGAAAATTCAGACCTAGTACGAGAAATCTCAATGCGAACATTCTATGCCAGGAAATGCTGGTGAATGAATGAAAACGTATTATTGAATATTGATTTCATCATACCTATTCTAAATTAAAATGTATATTTTAAGAGCAGTTCATGCATACAAGGTGCAGCTGCAAAGTATAGTGTTTCTAATCCTAATTAAAAACAGATAAAAAGATAATGTCAAGTAGGTTGACTCTGCATTTCCCACATAATGCTGCCATCAGTTCATAAAGGACTACAGCTCTAATAATAATAATAATAATAATAATAATAATAACAATAACAATAACAATAGCAACAATAACAATAATAATAATAATAATAATAGTAATAATAGTAATAGTAATAATAATAATAATAATAATAATAATAAATAATAATAACAATAACAATAATAATAATAATAATAATAATAATAATGACGGTACAGCCAGCAACGCAACGTCTGGCCTCGACCAAGTGGTTGAGCTACTGTTATTAACACCGAAGGAAAGTCAGTACGGCCAGCACACCTCCTGTTCATCCAGGCGTGATTTTTGTCTCTCTTCCACGCCTGGGTTTTAACACTTTTAGGTAAACAATTACACCTACCTATCAAAAGAGACCACAATTACCCAGAAATGGAGAAAAAACAAAATGAAGCCTCGGAATGTAACGACGTAATCGGGACTCGACGCTATGCGCTGAACTACACAAACAAGTTATCATGAACTTCCCTCACCTGTAAGGCAAAACTGTGCAAAACGTACTAGACCAGCGCCGATCCGTATTCATAAACAACAGATTGCCGGCAGAGGAGATAAACAAAATAAGAGAAGAGAAATCCATAGAATTAGGAATGCAGGAACAAGCTCCGCAAGAGCACACAGAAAACCAAGAACAAATTGAGGCAAACGATGGCCAACCCTCTAAATACGCAGATGAGTTCAGGGGCTTGTTCATGAGGTATGATGGTGTGGAGCCAACTCTAAACCCTTTAACTGTTGGTGGTCCCATTGAGGACCACCTCTGTTAGGTATCAATTTCGCGTAACCGGTGCGCTAAAAATGAGCCTTGCTGACAGAACGATATGTGTGGATTAGTCGGTGGTATTTTAGAGGACCACTACTGGTGGCTGAACACGTGATCAGCGCGCGCAACTATTATGTGGTCCCTTATCGGACCACCTTGCATAACGAGCAAGCATAAAAACTGTTTTCGCGCGAAGTGTCACATTGTGTTATTTTTTTCTGACTTACTTAAATACCGACCAATCACCTGTCTGCCGACTATTTACAAGGTATTGACTGCTATAATTACTGAAAAACTATATTCACACATAGAGCGGAATACTATACTAGACGAAGAGCAAAAAGGTTGCCGAAAAGGGTCTCGAGGCTGTAAAGAGCAACTTGTTATAGACTCTGTCATAACTAATTATGCCAAGAAGAAAAAATATCCCTGTACATTGCATACATCGATTATCAGAAAGCGTTTGACAGTATACCTCACTCTTGGCTGTTGGAGGTGCTTGACCTTTATGAGATCGAGTGCCACATCAAACAATTTCTGGCACATGCTATGGCGAATTGGAAGACACGGCTCTATCTCAACACACAAGATACGCAATTTAGTGCCGGAGAGGTATCCATCAAGAGAGGATTATTTCAAGGAGACTCTTTCAGTCCACTATGGTTCTGCTTAGCGCTTAGACCGTTAACAACAATGCTAAATAGCCAGAAGAAAGGAATACTGTTAGGTGGCAATGAAACACGCATTTCACATCTTTGGTACATGGATGACCTCAAACTTTTTGCAGAAACCAAAGAACATCTTCATAAGCTTCTGGACTGTGTAAGTAAATTCAGCACTATCATCAAGATGCTGTTTGGCTTAGACAAGTGCAGGATCAGTTGCATGGTAAAAGGCCAATGGAGTAAACATTCAGGATATGAGCCGAACCAAGTGCAAGGGAAAATTGAAGGAATGCAGCAAGATGAATAGTATAAATACTTAGGCTATCTACAAGCGCCGGGCATAGACCAGAAAGCTGCAAAAGAAAAGGCAATGGAGCACTATACAACACGTTTGAGGGCAGTGCTGAAAACAAGTTTGTCAGCTCGTAATACAGCACTTGCTGTCAGCACCTACGCTACTTCGGTCCTTACCTACACGTTGGGCATACTGAACTGGACGGATACAGAACTGAACGCACTTAATGTGGAAACCAGAAAAGAATTCCGTAAGCACCGGGGACACCACTCACATAGTTCCATAGAGCGGTTCCATCTACCACGAAGTGAGGGTAGCAGAGGAATACCTATGACAACGACAACGACAACGACAACGACAACGACAACGACAACGACAACGACAACGACAACGACAACGACAACGACAACGACAACGACAACGACAACGACAACGACAACGACAACGACAACGACAACGACAACGACAACGACAACGACAACGACAACGACAACGACAACGACAACGACAACGACAACGACAACGACAACGACAACGACAACGACAACGACAACGACAACGACAACGACAACGACAACGACAACGACAACGACAACGACAACGACAACGACAACGACAACGACAACGACAACGACAACGACAACGACAACGACAACGACAACGACAACGACAACGACAACGACAACGACAACGACAACGACAACGACAACGACAACGACAACGACAACGACAACGACAACGACAACGACAACGACAACGACACGACACGACAACGACAACGACAACGACAACGACAACGACAACGACAACGACAACGACGACGACAACGACGACGACGACAACGATAACGATAACGACGACGACGACAACGATAACGACGACGACGACAACGATAACGACGACGACGACGACGATAACGACGACGACGACGACGATAACGACGACGACGACGACGATAACGACGACGACGACGATAACGACGACGACGACGACGATAACGACGACGACGATAACGACGACGACGACGACGATAACGACGACGACGACGACGATAACGACGACGACGACGACGATAACGACGACGACGACAACGATAACGACGACGACAACGATAACGACGACGACAACGATAACGACGACGACAACGATAACGATAACGACGACGACGACGACGATAACGACGACGACGACGACGATAACGACGACGACGACGACGATAACGACGACGACGACGACGATAACGACGACGACGACGACGATAACGACGACGACGACGACGATAACGACGACGACGACGACGATAACGACGACGACGACGACGATAACGACGACGACGACGACGATAACGACGACGACGACGACGATAACGACGACGACGGACAACGATAACGACGACGACAACGATAACGACGACGACAACGATAACGACGACGACAACGATAACGATAACGACACGATACGATAACGATAACGATAACGATAACGATAACGATAACGATAACTATAACGATAACGATAACGATAACGATAACGAACGATAACGACGACGATAACGACGACGATAACGACGACGATAACGACGACGATAACGACGACGATACGACGACGATAACGACGACGATAACGACGACGATAACGACGACGATAACGACGACGATAACGACGACGATAACGACGACGATAACGACGACGATAACGACGACGATAACGACGACGATAACGACGACGATAACGACGACGA